AAACTAGTTTAAAAATGCATATAAAAGATCAATGAAACCAAGAGCTGATTCTTCAAGAAGAAAAACAAAATTGAAAACCTCTAGACTCATCAAGAAAAAGAAAGAAAAATAAAATCAGAAATGAAAGTGACAACTGACACCACAGAAATACAAAGGATTATAAAGAATATTATGAACAATTATATGCCAACAAATTGGACAACCTGGAAGAAATCAGTAAATTCTTAGAAACATACTATTTTCCAAGACTGAGTCAGGAAGAAACAAAATCTGAACAGACTGATATTTACTAACGAGATCGAATAATCAAAAAACTCTCAACAAACAAAAGTCCTGGCTTCACAGGTGAATTTTAGCAAACATTCGAAGAAGAATTAACACTTATTCTCAAATTATTCCAAAAAATTCAAGAGGAGAGAAATCTTCAAAGCTCATTTTACAAGACTAACCATTATCCCAATTCCAAAACTAGTGAAAGGCATTACAAAAAAAGAAAATTATAGGCCAATATCTCTGATGAACATAGATGAAAATATCCTCAGCAAAATAATCAAACCAAATTCAGATACATTAAAAAGATCAGGCAAGGACAACAAAAGAAAAAGTAAATACATGGGGCTACATCAAACTAAAAAGTTTTTTTGCACAATGAAGGAAACCATCAATAAAATGAAAAGACAACCCACTATATGGGAGAAGATACTCGCCAGTGATAAATCCCATAAGGGGTAAATATCCAAACTATATAACAAACTCACACCACAAGAAAATAAACAATTCAATTAATAAATGGGCAGAGGACCTGAATAGACATTTCTCCCATTAAGACAGAGATGGCCAACAGATATATTAAAAGATGCTCAACATTGCTAACCATCAGGGAAATGCAAAACCACTGTGACATATCACCTTACACCTGTCAGAATGGCGATCTTCAATAAATCAACAAACAAGTGTTGGCAAGAATGTAGAGAAAAGGGAGCCCTGTGCACTGTTGGTGGGATTGTAAATTGGTACAGCCAATATGGAAAACAGAATGAAGTTTCCTCAAAAATCCAAAACACTAATGGAAAAAATATGAAGATCCCCATATTCATTGCAACATTATTTACAACAGCTAAGATATGGAAGCAAGTATCCATCCGTAGATGAATGGATAAAGAGGATGTGGTACCTACATACAATGGAATATTATTCATCCATAAAAAAGGATGAAATCGTACCATTTGTGACATGGAGGGACCTAAAGGGTATTATGGTAAGTGAAATAAGTGAGAGAAAGATGAATATCATATGATTTCACTTATATGCAGAATCTAAAAAAACAAATTTAATGAACAAGCAAAATAGAAGCTTATAGATACAAAGTACATACTGATGGCTGCCCAGTGGGAGGGGATTAGGGGCTGAATAAAAAACATGAAGGAATTAAGAAGTACAAATTTCCACTTATAAAATAAAAATAGTCAGGGCACATAAAGTACAACATAGAGAATATAGTTAATAATGTTGTAATAACTGTGTATGGTGCCAGATGGGTACCAGACTTATTGGCGTGATCACTTCCTAAGGTATATAAATGTCCAAACACTATGTAGTACACCTGAAACCAATATAATATGTCAATTGTAATTGAAAAATAAATTTTTAAAATGTTCAAATCATCAAAAAAATCACCTTGGCATGCTATATATAAGAATTTTAATCACAGTAATGCAATTCATAAAGCAGGTGAAAATCACCTTGAAGTAAAATTGCAGAATTATTACTCTTTCTGTGCTCTTGCATTTTTCTATTTAGTATTCCTTATTTTTCCTGTGTTCAGCTAACAACCTATTATACATATAAATTAAAACTTTATTACTGAGAATAAAAATATTTTAAAATTGTGATAGAATTATATTTTCCAAAGATGGCTACCACAATATCATCCTTCCCACAAACTCTGACAATTTGACATTGACACTCCTGCTATTAAGAGGTGGGGTCTAATGCTCCTTCTCTATTCTGGGCAAAAGCAGAACCGATGCTACATGACTTCTGGACTAGGTCATAAAAGACAATAGAGCTTCTGTCTGAGGTCTGAGATATTCACTGTTGGAACCTAATCAACATGCTTTGAGAAAGTCCAGGACACATAAATAGGCCATGTTTAGGTCCCAGCTGAGAGCCACCATCAAACTCCAGACATGAATGTGAGAAAGTTTCTGAGATGACACCTCCCTCAGCCACCATGTGACTATAGTTACATGTGATACAGAAAGTGAGAACCACTTACCTGAGTGCCCAGTCAACCCCCAGAAAAATAGTAATAATAAATGATTGTTTTAAGCCACTATTGAGATGATTTGTTACAACAGCAGCACATAAGCAGAGCAAATTGTGTAAAAATGAAACTACCATGCAGCTCAATGTTAGTGTATAGTTACTGAGTCACTGGATCAACGGCAAACTTTCTTTGCCACCTTAGACTACACACCTAACTTACTCTCTTAGAGGCCTCCAAACTCTTTCGACTTAAAGGGGCAGGTCATTATGAAAGGATATCACTCAGAAACAGAAAGAGGGAAGAGATGCATGAGCAAAATATAAAAAAAAGTGTGCGGAGCGTCCATGCCCTCTCCCAGTGGGTCACTGTCCCCAAAACCCCATGTGTTCACAAGCCCAAAGGTAGTACAAATTCCTCTTTTTGGTTTTACATAGCTGTGGTTGATTAATCAATGACCACTGGCTATTAATTCAGCCTCCAGTCTCTCTCCTCTCCACAGTGATCAGGGGATGGGACTGAAAGTTCCAACACTAATGGTTGGTTCCCCTGGTGACCAGCCCAAAGGTCCCCTCACTTTCAAAACAAAAGATACCTGTATAGCTCTCTTCACCCTTTTCAAGTGTTTTAGGAGCTCTGGATCAGAAACGGTAAGAAGACCAAATATGTGTTTCTTATTATGAATCACAATATCACATTCCCACTTCCAGGTCTTTTCCTTAAAAGGACGGGCAGTACACAGTCTCTCCTAGTCCCTTTCTCTTGCCCCTTGTAAATAACTGGGACAACTGTCTTAGAACCAAAGATGAAAATCCCAGCATTGGATACACACTTCTACCTGTTAGGCAAGAAAAAATAAACAAAACAAAGACACAAAAACACTTCTATCTTTTCTAAGCCACTGTATTCAGGGTGTGTCTCAGGCATAGACCATTAGCCTATAAACAAATATAAATCTCCTACAGAACTCTGGCTAAATAACCATTTAGGGTTGACAATCAACTGACCACAAAATGCTGTTCTCATGTAACTAGGAAATTCAATCTAACCTGTTCTTGCAAAGGACAGATAATAGCCTAGACATTGTTCTTCAGAATAATCCCTATTTTTCTAGCATTCCATGTGTTTCATTTGTTTGCCTTTTTAACCCCATGTGGTTTACTACATTTTAAGCATATGTTACAAAATAATTTCTCACTTTCCATGAGTGTCAAAGATTATGTTGATTTTCACATTACTACTGATGTATTTCCTATCAAACACACTGGGTACTGTCTGACATTTTAACATCTCAAATAAAACTGCCAGAGAATATCTGTGATGAAACAACTTTTGAGTAAAAAAAAAAAAAAAAAAAAGGGCTAAAGGTAGTGACCTATACCATTAGTGCATAAAGTGATATGAATGTGTGAAAAAAAATCACTGAATATCCCAAGGTATTTAATGGATTGTTTCATTATAGCACTAGAGACTGACCGCTAAGATGGCTACACCTATGTTTTCACTGTTCTTGCCCTAATCCCAACCTATTATGCTGGTAAATTTGATCACTTTAATTCAAAAATTCACTAAAACTGATGACCTAACAATAATTTTAGTGAAGTGATAGTCATGGATTATACTGAGCTGGCTACTATTAGTCATTTTTATGAACAACAGCTTATATACAGGTAAACTACATGGTTAAAAAGAGTATTTTTTCTCTAAGATATTAAAGAGAAAAACCACAGGCCCAAAATGGTGTCACTTGGTGCTTTTAAAAGCCCATAATACATAGATTCAATATCTGATCTAATTGCAGTTTCAACCTTTCCCTAATCAACCAGTCTGGAGTTTTCTGATCAAGTACCTGTAAAATAATCTGTCACCTGGGCTCTCTCCATTCCCCAAAAAAAGAAGAGGTGATCTGCATTATAAAAACACTTCCTGTCCTCCCCTCCCAAGAAAATGTATCCTGGCCCCCAAATAATTCTTTCTTTTCCTTTGTTAATAGCTCCCTTGCTCCATCCTTCTTCCTATAAAAATCTTCTATTTTGTACAACCCCTCAGGGAACCCTGGCAGTTGTGAAATGGGATGTTGCCCAATTTATGAATCTCTTAATACAACCATCAGAGCCTCAAATATACTAGGTTGAATTCTGTTTTTTAACAATGGCAACCTAGATGATCTGTAAGGGGGTGGGGAATCAAAACTGTGTCCTCGGCTTTTTATGTCATCTTTAATCCAATTGCAATTTTAATCAATAGCCATTCTGGAAAGCTAATGCAAATTAGTTCATTAAAATATGCAAGTTTCTCGAGTATTTCATGAAATCAAATCGATACAGAGATAGAAAACAGAGACAGATGACTTCATAAATGCAAAATTTTATTCCAAAACAAGATCTGGGGAAGCTTATCCTCTCTTCCCAGCAACTTAGCCTCATTCCTTTAAAAAAAAAAAAAGGGGAAGAAGAAGAAGAAAATATAAAACTGCAAGGCTTATAAGCTTTCTGAGGTGCAATATGAAATTAAGACAACTATGTTAAGAGCAAACAGTTTGACCCAGTCTTGGAGGTTTAACTTATATCATTAAAAACTTGATATTCAGAGATAAGATGACAAGCAAAAACCTATTATTGCAAAATATCTTCGATCCATGCCAAAGTTTCAAGGCTCTACAGGTATTTGGGGGTTAGACAATAACAAAATGCACTTGTTTGTAAAAGCTTTTAAAAGATAAAATTTAACTCACCTTCTGTGTCCTTAATCCTATCAAGTTTAAGAGCCTTTGTTCCATCAAAGCAAAAAGCCCTAATGGAATTCAGTCCTAACAATAAAGCATTCTGCTTTATTTTTTTTACTTTGTTGGAAATTTTATCCAGTGCTATTACTTCTCCCTAAAAACAAAAACAAAGTATAAATCCAAAGCAATCATGAAAATTATTAATGATAATGAAAACATGAAAAATTATGGTCTTCCCCACTTTCCTCTACCCCTAGGTTTTAAAGCTACTTTTAATCACTAAAATTAAAAATCAAAAAATATAGTTTGCAATCTTCTAGAGAAACTTACAAACATCCATTGGAGGTAAATATTAAAAATCACCAATTTGACATGCCTTGCTCACCTGTGAAAGAGCATGAACCAATGTTGACACATGCCTTCTAGACTCTGAGATACAGATAAATATTACTTGTAAAATCAATCCTCATCTCAATATTTTGAGCTATACACATAAAATTCATATGAATTCAAACAAAGACAGAAAAATATAAGCCTGCTTATCACAGCAAAATATTCTAAACTGGTATATAAAGTAGCTCAAAATAATTGTATATGGCAATACTTCAATTAGGTCAAGGTCGATAAAAACAAGAGGCCATTTTTATGAATGCATTGTGACATTCATGTGAAGTGATACTGCAGAGATGGTGAAATTAATTCTTCAATGTATCCACTTTTGTTCCTTTTACATACATTGTCCTTGTATGATATATGCATCAACTGTACAGACCACAATTCAGGAAATTGCTGATAATGTTCCTAAATGTGACCCAGCTTTAATGGTAGACATAGTTCCAATTAATCCTTTGACAGACAGAAAAATCATTTCAAGTGAGTTGAACTGAAAAAGTAGGCAAAAACAAGCAGAATATGGTTCAAATGCACTTCAGTAAAGGAGTAAGTCCACTAGCTGAAGGCTACTTTTACAAAGTACAGATAAGAGGCTACTTATACAAAATTTGTTTAACTATCAAAATAGATAATAAATCGAAAGCAGCAACATAATCTAGAATTCATTCTAGATGAATTCTCTTAGGATGTTCATTTCTACATTTCTGGCCCACTGTGAGAGACTGCCCAACTCCAACTCAACTCTCCACATATCTTCATCCTTTGCCATTTACCTTGCAATACCCTGCTATTCTGACTTGGGCTCAGAGATGCAATTTGCATTGGCCAATAGAATGAGAGTAAATGTGATGCAAACAGAAGTGAATAGTACTTGAACAGTTGGCCTTGCCTTGCTTTGCCCTCAGCCACTGCCAGCCCTCAATGATTGTCCTCAACTAGGCTAGCCCCCCTGGTCCTAACAGGGAAAATAAGAGACAAGTTGTCCAGTGGCAGGGCACCTTGGTGGTCTCAGCTAAGGTCACTTTAGATAAGCCAACATCAGCCAAAACCAAATGAATGCACCCAAGACCACCAGACTCATCATAACTAACCTGCAGTGGATCATGACACAAGCAAGCTTGGGCTGAATACATGTTTAGTTGTATGCCATCAAAGATTTGTGGTCATTTTTACATGGCGATATAAAACCAAAATTAACAGATACAATTACAATATCCAGATTGTCTTTGGAAAGACTTCTTAGAATAAAATATCTAAGAATAAGTGCCTCTAAGCAAACACAAAGATCACAATATAAATTAAGGGTGGGGGGGGAGGTGATCATTTCCTCGAAGTATATCATAATCTATACATTTATGCTTTCAGGTAAACAAAGTGATTTGCATTAACCACCACAACTCCATAAAGGGAACTTTTCTATTACATGTTCTTCAGTTTAGGTACTGGTGGTATTTTTCCTTTAACAGCTTTTACCGATACCGCTTTATATTCTTTTTGGAAAAAAAAAAGAATATAAGTAAATAGGCAAGCACACCTCCTCTAATGAACCAAGAACATTAATTCCCCAAAATTTAAACAACAAATATCTTTTTCTACTACAGATCTTTCTTAGTTACTTAAGGTTACTCATTGAGGTTTACCCTAGTGCTACTGTAAGAGAGAGAGAGAGAGAGAGAGAGAGAGAGAGAGAGAGAGAGAGTGTGTGTGTGTGTGTGTGTGTGTGTGTGTGTGTGTGTGTGGGGGGGTGGATATGTGTGTGTGTGTGTGTGTGTGTGTGTGTGTGTGTGTGTGTAGGGGGTTGCATACAGTTAGAGTGCATAGATACACACACATGAAGTACAGATATACAGTGCATATCTATACATATAATATATGTATATGCACATGTATAGTGCAGAGATTTAACCCTTTAATAAATTTATTAAATTATATTTTTACATTTATATGTTTATCCCTCTGCTGTGACATTTAAATCTTTCAGAAATTCTAAGTGTTAAAGCTAAATACTAATGTGTATATATGTGAATTTTCATCAGAAGTCTTTGGATAATTAAATTTTGCAATAAAAAAGCTACAATTTCTCGACACAATACATGTTCCTACTATTTTCCATGCAACATTGCTGTAAATCAGTTCATAGTCCTAAGAATCATCAAATACAGATCAAAAATTGATTACTTCTGGTCAAAATGGGGGAGTAGGTAAACACTGTGCTCGCCTCCTCCCATGACCACATTAACATTACGACTAAATTATGAAACCATCATTGAGAACCACCTGAAGACTAGCTGGACAGAAGTCCTATAACTAAGGATATAATGAAGCAGCCCATTTGAGACCAGTAGGAGGGGCAGAGATGCAGAACATGCAGGAACCACCCCCACAGTGAGGTGATTAAGAAACAGAAGGGATATCTTGGTTGTGGAGGTCCCCAATGAAGAGCAAAGGGTACCAGCCCCACACCTGGCTCCCCAGCAGGGCACCGGAGAAGGGAAAACCAGTGGGACTGCACTGGAGTGACATGAAAGGCTGCTGGAGACCTAGCTGTTCCTCCAGAAGGGCCCCCACACAAACCTGCTCACTCACAAACTCATTTAGTCTGGAATCCAGTGCAGAGGCAGCAGCTCAAAAGCACCAGGCACATACAGGGAGGAACTAAACTGACTATCTTCGGGGCGAGGGCTGGAGGGGCAGCTCTCCTTGGGATCAGATGCTGCCAGGCACCACTGATCCTTTGCTGAGTGCTCCTCCCACTGAGCCAGCAAAGCACTAATTCTGTGCTCTCCATTACCCTAATTAACATAGGTCACCCCAACTTGGTGATTCCCTGAGACCCCGCACCACCCAACTCTCAGCCTGGCCCAAGCCTCTTCCAGCAGCTCTTTCACATGAGCAATCTGCCTCAGCTCACACTGCAGACTGCCAAAATCTCTCAAAGGATGACAAACTCAAAACAGGCATAAGCTGGCCTCCGTGTATATTATACCTCTTGCTAAGTGGCTTCCGTCTCAATTGCATTGTAGCTCCCATCAGATGGCTCCAAGCCTGGCATAAGTGGCAGTCTTGGCAAAGAACATAGCTTCAGCTAAGTGGCCACAAGCCCAGCACAAGTGGCAGCTGGCCTCAGTTCATATTGTGGTGCCCGCCAAAGGGTCCCAACCCAGTAGGAGTGGTAGCCAGCCTCAGTTTGCAGCACAGCCACTCCCAAGTGCCTCCAAGCCCAGCACAAGCAGTAATCAATCACAGATCACTTTGTAGCTGCTACCGAGAGGCCCCAAGCCAGCACAAGTGATGGCTGACCATGGCCTGCACTGGAGCCCCACCCAAGAGGCTGCAGCACCAACGCACACCCGGTGGCCAGCTTGAGACCACACCAGAGCACCATCCAACCAACTTAACACATGACACAGCTAAGGGGTGAGCTTGGCTGGCATAAGAGCCCCGCTTCTGCTCTGTGAGGTCAGCAGCTGCACAACAGCTCCTTCACTGTAGTCACGGCCAGCCCTCACAGCCAGTCACCCTGAAAGTCAACCCCTCCCACTGATGTGCCAACAGCAGTCAAGGCTCAACCACAACAGGAGGGCACACATGATCCACACAAGGCAACCAGTCCAGGTGACCAGAGAGACTATGCCAAGGGGCCCCACAGGACACCTACTACATAATGCCAGAAGACATAGCAAATCTACCTAATACACAGAAACAAACATAGAGAGGCAGACAAAATGGGGAAACAAAGAGATATGTCCCAAATTAAAGAACAGAACAAAGCTCCAGAAAAAGAACTAAACAAAATGAAGACAAGCAATCTTGCAGAGTTCAAAACACTGGTTATAAGGATGCTCAATGAACTTAAGGGAAGAGTAGATGAACTCAGTGAAAACTTTAACAAAGAGAAAAGAAACAAAAATAAAGACAGAAAACAAAACAAAATGGTCAGAAATGAAGAATGCAATAACTAAAATGAAGAATATATTAGAGGAAATCAACAGATTAGATGAAGCTGAGGATTGAATCAGCTATCTGGAAAACAGATAACAAAAATCACCCAATCAGAACAGCAAAAAAAATAAAAAAAATAATAATAATTTAATAAAATGAGGATATTTAAGGGGCCTCTGGGACAACACTAAGCATACCGACACTCGCATCACAGGGATACCAGTAGAACAGAGAGAAAACAAGTGATTGAAAACCTATTTGAAGACATAATGACTGAAAAATTCCATAACTTGGGGAAGGAGATAGACATACAAGTCCAGGAAGGACAGAGAACCCCAAACAAGATGAACCCAAAGAGGCCCATACTGACATAATTAAAATGCCAAGGGTTAAAGACAAAGAGAGAATCTTAAAAGAAGCAAGAAATAAGCAGTTAGTTACCTACAAAGGAGCTCCCATAAGACTATCAGCTGTTTTCTCAACAGAAATTTTGCAAGCCGGAAGGCAATGGCATGAAATATTCAAAGTGATGAAAGAATAAAACCTACAACCAAGATTCCTATACCCAGAAAGGCTATTATTTGGAATCGACAGAAAAGAAAAAGCTGAAGTTCATCACCACTAAACCAGTATTACAAGAAATGTTAACTTCTTTAAGGAGAAAAGATCAAAAATATGAATGAGGAAACATCACAAAGAAAAAAATTCTCAGTGACACAAGCAAACACTTAGTAAAACCATTAGATCAACCAACTACAAAGCCAGCACAAAAGTTAAAAGGCAAAAGTGGGAAGAGCATGTGTAATTACAACAATAAAT